GGAAATGAGCACATTGCTTAGGGGGCTAACATTTTTCATAGAGTGGAACTTGGGTACTACTTGCATGGTTGAAGGAGACTCATTGAATATTATTAGTTGGTGTAGCAAAGAGCAAAAGGTACATTGAGAACTTTGGTCTTTATGGTTACAAATTATGGACGCTTCCGCATCCTTATCTGTTTCTTTCGCCCATGTCTATCACGAGGCTAATGGTGTTACTGATGCATTAGCCAAAGGCGGTGTTTCTCTTGCTTCCTTTTTTATTTATGTTGATGTAATTTCCTTCTAGTCTTTCAATAAAACGCTTGAACTTGGGTCAAAAGAGAGAGAGAGAGAGAGAGGGAGAAAGAGAGAGAGCTAATAATGCAAAACTTATCTGGTTAGCAATTTCTTCCTAGATAAATCATATTAATAATACTGCAGCATTTATTTTATAATACCTACATGAAAAGAATTCATTCCAAATGAAAATAAAAAAAAGAAGAGGAAAAAGACAATTCGGAACTTTGAAGTTGATTTGCATATAAATTTTCTCATTAAATACTTTAGCAAATATCACACCCACTTAAGTACATACCAAAAAAAAGACACAATTTTTTTTATCATCGAATGCTTTAACTGTGATATAACAACTTTATAACTACACTTAAATAGTAGGGTTTGGGTTTGTGATATAACAACTTTATAAAAAAAAAAATGTGGATTTTTCTCTATAAAATCAACAAGTGGTTCAATGGGGGTTTTCTCTGTAATTTGCAGGTTTCAAAGCTTGTGTTCTAGAGAGAGAAACATGGCTCTTTTTTATTTTCTTGGGTTTTTCTCTATAAAATCAGCAAGAAAATGAACACTTTTTGGTCCCATTTTATTCATTTTTCAAAAAATCATGTTTTTTATGGTATATGACAAATACGCTTTTTTTGAAGAAGTTTTCAAAAAAAAATTGTTTTAAATGTCTTTCAAAAAAGTAAGTTTCGTTTTTTTTCAAAAATAGACGAATAATTGCCGATTTGCTAACTATGGTATAGAGCCTGGGCTCTAAACAATCAAATTAGAGCCTACCTTCAAATAGTATCGAGAGATGTGGTTTCACTATGGGAAATGTTCGTGATAGCCTTAAAATATGTTTTCATATTTATTTACAAAGTTTAAAGCTTAAAAAATAGTGCAGATCGACAGATCTATGAAATCTTGAAAATCTTGAAAATTGATGGCCAAAAAATGCGTAACAAAATACACTATTTTCGAAACTTGAAATCCAATTTTTCCTCATGTCCATGCATCTTGATGTCGAGATGATCAATTTGAAGATATTTGGGCATCAAAACAACATCTTCTAATGGAATTTTTGAGGTAGGTTCAAATTTGATTGTTTAGAGTCTCAACTCTATATAAACTTTTCCCTATTTTTATTTGATTTTTTTTGTTTTTTTTGGTGAAAGATAAAAGAGATGGCCTTAAAGGCGTGTTCCTCTTTCTTTTTCTTTTTCTTTTTCTTTTTTTATAGCAAAATGGATTTTTATTTTCTAAAAAAAAATGCCAAATTATGTGATTTAAAACCTGAGAATTAAAAATCGCCTTAGAGAGGCTAGTTGATTAGGTCATTGTTCGCAGAATCGCCCGATCGCACCGCTAACCGCCCGGTTAGATCGGAACCGGCCAATGGCCAGTTCCGATTTGGGCTGTTAGGGCGATCAATCAGTATTTAACAAAAAAATTCCAAAAAATGTATATAAAGACTCAAAAATAAGGAATTTGATTTGTAATGCATTTTTGCATTTTTAAATATTCTTTACATTATGGTAAAGATTAAAAATTGTTTTGGTCATTAATACTCACTTTTATATTTTTCTCATATTTTTTAGAAAATTTTAAAAATAGCCATTGGAAAATATAAAATGGGATAAAATCCATTTTTTTCATTAATTTTCAACTTCATTTGAATGTGTTTTGTTTTAATCATTCTTTCTATGTTTTTCATAATTTAATAGATTTTTATGTTTATTTTTTTTCAACACTTTTTTTGCCACCTGAGACTTGCCCGATTAGAGTGGTTGAATCGGCCGGTTTACTAGTTAGGCTGGTTAAACCGCTGCAAGGCCCATGTCAGGTTAACAATTCCAGTTTGATTTTGTGAACACTGGATTAGGTTGATAACGATAAGATTTACCTCAATGGATAAGGCTAAACCACAACTTATATCCAATATATGAGCTGGGAGTGATTTTAGGACGGCTTACTCATGACCGCAATATCCTTTTCTTTTTCTTTTTTGAATTTTCTGATAGAAACACTAAAACAATAGAAAAGAAAAAAACAATAAGAAAGAAAACTCAAAAAGAAAGAAATAAACAAAAAATGGTGGCTGGAAAAAGTTCCAGAGTGATCCAAGGCAAAAAAACTTTCTAGATGCGTGCTCACAGCCCGAAAGCCTATTTGTTGTTAACAGCTAAAGGTTAAAGAATTAGATGCAAGCTTTCTATGCTTCCCCTACAACATAAAACTTATATACTTCCCCTTATCCAACCGTCCATTCTGATGGAGGGCTAAGATTGTCCCAATCATAATGTCACATCTCTACACTATTTTATTTTTAATTTTTCTTATATAAACTATTTTGACATCAAATTTTCGACTTCCAATCCTTTATTAAACTTTCACTACCGAAAAATATTAAAAACAGTATTTCCAATAAAATAAAAAAATTAAACAGTCATGTTATTAGGGGTATTTTGGTCATTATATTTTATTGAAAAATTATTTTAAATATTTTTTATAGGTGCGTCCTAATGAGAAGATGACACGTACCAAATTTCATATTCATAAAATTTGTATAAAAAAACTAAAAATAAAATTCTTTGAGAAATCGGATATAAAATCAAACGGTGAGTGACTCTCTTGATCAAAATTGGACGGCTGGATGGTAGAAGAAACATAGATCTTCTATGCCGTAGGGGAAGTATAAAAACCTTTACCAAAAAAGCTTTCTTTCTAATTATTGGATTTTTTAATTTTTGTTCAAAGAGCAAGCATTTTAAAACTGTGAAGAATGTAAATGCTTAAACTCGTTTACCCCTCATTAATACTTACACCTTGTTCAATTTTGTTCTGTCTTGTCTTTAAATGGTAGATTAAAGCTTTTACATCACGGGTGCAGTTGGCATACAGATGCATGCCTGTAGAGGTAATTTCAAATTTTATCATGGTATATAATTTTGATGTAAAATATTTTTAGGATTATTTTAAAATCTATTTTAATATTTAATTATAAAATTTTAAATTTTAAAAATGGTTAAAATCAAGTAGATCTATAAACATATGAAAATCTTGAAAATGAATAGTGTAGATAATATATTGTAAAATGCACTATTTTTGAGACTTAAAGTCTTTTTATTTTTCATGGTCACACATCTCGTTGTCGAGATGATCCATCAAAGGGTTTTTCAACATTAAAACTACCTTTTTCAATGAAGTTTTGAGGTGCATCTGTAGTTCTACATTATAAGGTTGTATCCTTATATAAACTTTTTCCTAACATCATAAAGGAAAACTATTGTTCGTCTAAAACCAAACCGTTTAAAGATTTTACTAAAGAGTTGGAAAAATCGGGTGATCTAACGGTTAACCACTCGGTTCTGTTTTGGTGAT